CACACCCCCAGCCAACACCTCCTCGGCGGAGGCGCCGGCCCCGAGCCACACCAGAGACGAGCAGCCCAAACCCAGCTTCCAGATCTTCGAGGACAAGGTGGTGCGTGACCGGGCGGTGCTGTCGCGGCTGCGGCACTTCACCGAGTACCGCATCGACATCCACGCCTGCAACCACGCCGCCCACACCGTGGGCTGCAGCGCGGCCACCTTCGTCTTCGCCAGGACCATGCCCGAGCGTAGGTGCCAGGCAGAGCCAGCCTCCCCTTTGCCCTCGGATGAGACCCCTGGCCCCTCTCGGGATGCTCCTTTGGGAGCTCATCCCGCCGTGCCCCTCTCCAGTGCAAGCCGATAACATTCCCGGCAACATCACGTGGGAGCCGGCCAGCAAGAACAGCGTCCTGCTGCGCTGGGAAGAGCCCAGGAACCCCAACGGGCTCATCCTCAAGTACGAGATCAAGTACAGCCGCGAGAGCGAGGTGAGGAGCCCGCCGAGCCCCACAGCCCGCTCCGGGCTGCCGAGACCCCCATCCCGGTCCCTGGGCTTTGGTTACGGAGCGGGGATCCAAGAGAAACGGGGAGAAATGCCACTGTCCCCACGGCCTCCAGGAGGTCACCACCGTGGTGTGCGTCTCCCGTCACCGCTACTCCAAGTACGGCGGCGTCCACCTGGCTCTGCTCCAACCGGGCAACTACTCGGCCAAGGTGCGGGCCACCTCGCTGGCCGGCAACGGCTCGTGGACGGGGCTCGTCAAGTTCTACATCCTGGGGCCAGGTACGAGGCTGGTGGGGGGAACATGGGAGCAGCAGGGCAGGGAATCGGGTGCTCCCGGCCCTGGGATCAGGGGATGCTGCCTGGAGGTTCCGGGGATTTGGATGTTGCTGGCACAGAGATGCTCTGCACTGGGGCAGAGCCCGCGGCATCGGGAGATGCTGCTGGATACAGGGATGCAGGAGCCGGCGCGCTGGCCGCGGGTGTAGGGGTGGGTGCGTGGGCACCGGGCCCATCCGTCACCCTTGGGCGCGTGTCCCCGGCAGCGGG